AGGGGGAAAAACAAAAACAAAAAAATTAAAAAAAAAAAAAAAAAAAAAAAAAAAAGCAAAAATCACTTACCATAGACATAAGCTGTTGAAAGACCAATGGTCCATACTGGCTAATGTACTCCTTGCACTGTTGAAGACATGAGAGATAAGACCACCAAAATTGTCCCACACATACAATGGCATCTTTACTTTGAGCACACAACTCTAGTAAACTCATGCGCTCACCATATCAGACATGCCAGGTCCCAGCAGCTCACACTGGCTCTCCACCCGTGCGAGTAGAGTGTTGATAAATGAGGAATTGGCTTTGGCGTCCTCCTGAGTGTCAGAGATGAACGTAACACAGTCCTGGCACACATCTCCACCAGTCTGCAGACAGAAGAGAACACCAATGAGTTAATAAACATACAGGACGAGATTAATTATGCATGTTTTAATAACAGTTTAACAGTTTATGACACCATAGTATGTTTAACACCATTCCCTCCCCCCCCCATTAAAACATACAGGTGTGACCTGTTTGGGGGTTTGGGGGTCTCCTTCTTGGTATTCTCTTGAGGGTAAAGCAGCTGAGGGATGTTGAGCAGGAAGGGGTTGACACGCTGGTTCAGGTCCACCTCAGGGATCTCATTGGACATGAGCTGAGCTTTAGCCAGAGTTGCCTGCTGGGACACACACAGGCCCATAGCACTGCACACCACACCGGGGTCATCCTGCGAGATGAAGGGAAAAACCGATGCATTGGAAAGCATGATACAAATAGGATGTGCAGCTGAATACATTTCCCCTTGCTTCAGTTCTTTAAAGACTGTGGCTGATGCTGTGAATGACAGATGAGGCTCTATGGGAAGGAAGAGCCTATTACACAAAGGCTGCTTTGTGGCTAGCTAACCATCTTAGCGGCACTAGACCAGTCTAGTCAGACCAAAGCATTTAGTTAGTTTTGGAGTAATAAAAATTGAAGCGCTTCATTTCAGATTTTACCCACCAAGATCAATTTATTTCATGACGATGGTGAGTAACTTCTCTAAATTGTGGCTTGATCAATTTTTCACCAGCATGTTTGAATGTCACTGATTTGTGGCTTTTACAAAAGCACAAATTGCTAAAAAAATAATTTTAAAAAATCCACTATTTGGTGGGAAGTAATGACTATTCTCTACTGTATCTCTATAGAGTTTAACAGTCATGCCATGACTGTTATGTCATTTTTTAATTATCAGCATCAACAAATACATTCATAGGTACATTCGTACTT